GGCGAGTTTCCGCGACTCGCCACGCGACATTTATGGCACAACCCCCGCCAACGTGACGCGATTGGTCGATCAGTCCGCGCGTATCTTCATCCTCTTCGCCTGACCACTGCGCCTTTCCTCTACTTGTTCCTACCTCGGTTGGCGTTTCCTCACGGTCGCCTTACGCCCACGCTTTTCTGTTTTTCTTTCTTTCTTTCTCTCTTTTTTTTCCTGTAAATATCTGCGTGTCGTTAGAAACGTATTTTTATTGGATTGAAAAAGCTATCTTTTTATTTATTGAAATTTTAGGATTAGATACTTTTTTGGTTGATTCTTTTTAGATAATGAATAATTCTATAATCGTAGTATAACAAACGATTTAAATAAGATCAGAAAAATAAAAGATCCTATTATTTTTTATGTAAATATTATAAAAAAAAATATTATTTTTTAATGGAAAAAAATTTCATGCTATATATGATAGTAGTTATTTTAAATGCTATAATAATTTATTTCAAAATATTTATATTACTAAATTTCGAACAATTAGCTGATATTTGATTCGTAGATTTGAAATTTGAAATTCGTAGAGAATTAGAGAAACATAAATGGTGGTATCTATATAAAGATTTATTTTAATGATCTTTAACTGCTATATTTTCTTACAGATGAGTATGTACCAATGTATGCATTAGTGATCGATTATTATTAATGATCATAAGTGAATGACGAGAATTTATGAGAAAATATTTATATGCATAATTTGCGTGCAATTGAGGTTGTCAGATATCGATGATTCGAGAATACATTTTCATTCAGGAAGTAGTTTGTTTCTGTCATTGTTCCGCGTAATACTTTCAAATTTAAGCACGTGGAACATAAAATATTTTGAGATTAATACGTGTTAACTGTAACGTAAAGTAAAGGAACGCACGTGGATCTTGAGTCTTCTATTAATATTCGTTGGCGCTAGTGTGCTACTTGATTCGTGGTTATTTAAAATAAATTTCAATAGACAATTTTTATGAAGGTTGAAAAATTGCAAAATTATAATTCTTATTTATCTTAGATAGTACATTAAATACATTAGCATTATCTAAGATATATATCATATTAATTAATATTTAGCGATATCTCAGATAGTACAATTAAATATATTAGCACTATCTTAGATAAATGAAAAATTAAAAAATAATAAGTAATAATATCATAAAATATATTTAGTGATAATAAAAATTATAGTAATTGTTTTAATATATGAAATATTTTTCCATTAAAAGAATAATATTCATAATAGTTTTAACATTATAGATAATAAAATAAAATGTATAATATAACACAATTCACATTCCTATTCACCAAAAATAAGATAATTATAATTCGTAAACAATTATTTATATTTGCAACAGAGAATCAACATTAATATTGTATACAAAATAACATTCATAGTAATAGATCATAAGACATTGATTTGTAAATAATCGTCTGAGCATTTGATCGTGAGTCACTATCTAATTAGACATTATGCGACGTGATAAATCATTAATACTTCATTACTATATTAGGAAAAACTTCTAGCAATCAAATAGTCCATTGGGATGAATCATTAACAAAATATTAATGTAAAAAAAAAAGAAAAAGAATAAAACAATAAGATTACATTACTGAATATTATTAATTAAATATAATTCCATACCAAAATAGTACCTACCTTAGAAGTTAGAGACTTTTGTCACTTCTTATTTAATTTACTCTTTCTCAATAAAAATTATCAGAATAAATTCATGAAAAGAGAAAATAAATATCTTCTTTTTCGTAAAAATATCAAAATCGATAGATATTTGGTAATAATAATTTTGCAACACATCATTTTATAATTTGACAAATTTCGTATTCCGAGAATTGGCGGATGTTTAGCTATTCTTTATTGTTCTCGAATTAAACAGCCATATTAAACGCACAGTCATATCTAAATGCTGACAAGCGTCAGGCCAAATTGACATTGGCAATATCCGATACTTGAATCCTTGAGATGAGGCCTTCTTTAAGGTTGCATGCGTATATTCGTTGCGAAAATGTCATTGCACGTGTACGTTACACGAAATATTCATTTCGAAGAATATAATTTTCACACACTTTTCACACCATTTTCACAATTTTCCCACGTGTATGTTCTCTTGGATAGAAATGCATAAAGTTCACGCTTGACATGTTTTTATTCGGTTTTCTTGGTTTTCGTTACTCGCTTGTTGGTTGGTTTCAGATGTCACACGAGGATGGCGAATTATTTAAGAAATGCAAAGTATATGCATAGGATGAATCATTTAAAACTCAAAATAATTTTTTAATGGTACGAGATAATAGGTAGAGAAAAAAATTAATATTAATTCCAAAGAAAAAAATGTTTATTTCTCAAAATAATGTATTTAAAAAATTTTTGAAGTAAATATTGAAATTAAATAAAGTGAGTTAAGAATTTAAAATTTGTTTAATAATTTATGAAGTGATTACTCTTGTATTTTATCTTTTCTTTTCTTTTTTTTCGGAATAAGATTTCGTAAATATTTAATTTGTTCGATAAATGACACAATGGATCATTCTCATGTTTTGTAACAGTGATCTCAACTATTCAGTTAAATGCAACAATTATTTTAAGCGAGAGAGAGAGAGAGAGAGAGAGAGAGAGAGAGAGAGAGAGAGAGAGAGAGAGAG